AGCCACACCAGGTGTGGCTCAACAGAAGTTTTTTAACAGCTCACATTTATCTTTCTATATTATTTTTCTTTTTTTTTACATTGCTTTTCATAGAAATAACAGCTTTCCTTCTGTACTTATATTTTATGTATTTACATAATGTTTCATTAAATAACATAGTTATTAATAACAAGTAAGACTGGTATAAAGAAAATTTAGAACAAACACATCTTACACCTATTAGGTCTACAAGGCAATTCAAGTACGAGGCGCAGACGTAAGGTGGATGTTCTGAGAGCAGTTTACCACCTTTGAGCACTGGTGAGGCTGGGCTAGGGTCACTATGCTTTAAGAAGGAAATGGTGTCTATCAAGTGAATTGGTTAAGTGGAAGTCATTTTTGAGAGTATTTGCAATACAGTGAATGCCCATAAGAAGGCTACTTCACCTGTCTTGGGGAAGTGAATACAAGTTGACACCTAAAGGTTTGGAAGGACCTAACCAGAGTAAAATCCAAGAGATAGTATTCGAGGCACGGAAACAGCCAGAGATAGAAGAGAACACTTACAGTGGAGTAACAGGAAGAAGTATGGCTGGGTTGCAGGGCACAGGAGGGGATATGTTGAAGATGGGGCTGGAGGAGAATTTTGCAAGCCACATTATGAAGTTTAGACATTCTGTTAGGAACAGTAGAAATCCATGGATAATTGTAAAGAAGGGCACTAGCATAATCAGACTTGCATTTTCGAGTGCTCCCTTGGACTGCATTCCAGGGGATCGGTTCGAGATGGTGGTGGGCAGTGGGAGGATGAGGATGCTGGGTGAGGGAGGGTGGTGATCTGAACTGGCTGTAGTGCTGTCAGGATGAGGGAGAGTGCTTTGGAGGTGAAGGCGAGGACAGATCTGGTTAAAACACAAATGTGTCTGGTTTTGGTGATGGTGCCACTTACACAGAGACATGGAACAAAGGCATGGTGCGGGGAAGGCGAGTGCAGCTTGGAACATACTGAATTTGAATGTGAGGTAAGAAGCTGTGGGCTATCCATGAAGTAGCTGGACATGTGACTCTACAGCTCAATCTCAGAGGTTACATTTGATCAGAAAGTCAGGTAAGGTTAGACACAGAAGTATGCAATTGCTTTTAGCAATGAGAAATCTCCTGGTGACATTGGAGAAAGCAATTTTAGAAAGAAGGCGGACACAAGTGCCAGACCTTAATGGCTTCAGGAGTGTGTAGGGATGAGGAAATGACTGTGTGTGGTTGACCATTTCGAGAACTTGGACTTTGAAGGAGAGGGCAGAGTAAGGGAGTGCAGTAGCTCAGGATGAGTATGGGATAAAGAAGAACACATCTAAATTTTGCTAGAAATGTAAATGTTGCAAATGAAAGCAAGAGAGGGAGTAGGAGGTGTTAAATGGAGAAACCGATGCTTGTTATGGAATGCTGTTGTGAGGTGATCAGTGAGTGAGCCCATACAAAGCATCAGGCACAAAACATGCATATGGCTTCAGAGTTTCTTCCATTCTCTATGCACTGTCCATCCCCCTTTTCATCTTATTTTGTTTTTATCTACAACCTGATATCACTACTTTGGTCTGTGCCTTCTTGGTGGCATAACTATAGTTTAGAAAGCTTTCCAAGTAATTCCAGATGAGGTTTAGGAACTGTTATAGACTGGTCTAATATCTTGCCTATCCCTTTTTCCCATATACCTCCATAGTGCCTACAATGAATCCCCATTTGGCTAATTAAAAACATTTTTAAAATTATTATTTTATTTTATTTTTAAACAGTTGACATTCAATATTATTTTACATTAGTTTCAGGTGTATAGCATAGTGCTTCTATAACTATATGATTTCCAAAGGGATCCTCCAATATTTCCAGGACCACCTGCCACCATACAGAGTTATTACAATATTATTGACCATATTCCCCATGGTGTACATTTATTTGTTTGTTTGTTTGTTTGTTTAGACCAGGGAAGACAGGGAGAAAAACATCAAAGGGTTGTCACTCTTACACACTCTGACCGGGGACCATGCCTCTACTGGGTATCAAACAGGCAACCTTTTGCTTTGCGGGGTGATGGCCAACCAACTGAGCCACACTGGCCAGGACTCCTATGGTGTACTTTATTCTACACCTCTGTGACTATTTTGTAGCTACCAATTTGTACTTTTTAATCCCTTCCCTTTTTTCACCTAGCTCCTCAAATCCCTCCTACTGGCAACTATCAGTCTGTTCTCTGTGTCTATGAATCTGTTTCTGTTTTGTTTGTTCATTTATTTTGTTTTTTAGATTCCACATATAAGTGAAATCATATGGTATTTGTCTTTCTCTGTATGACTTATTTCACTTAGCATAATGTCCTCTGGGCCCATCCATGTTGTCATAAATGATAAGATTTCATTCTTTTTTTAATGGCCAAGTCATGTTCCATTGTATATCTGTATCACATCTTCTTTACCTATTTATCTATTGGTGGGTATTTGGGATGCTTCCAAATCTTAGCTATTGTAAATAATGCTGCAATGAACAAAGTGGTTCATACAAGGTCTGTCCGGAAAAAGTCCAGCCATTGTTAATATACTGAGAACGGTTTGCGTGACATCGATGTAACCTGGCAGCTAAGGAAAGTGGACTGGAACAAGCATGTGTGAACAATGATGACTTCACTGTACTAGTCAGTGGGGGTGGTAGATGCCACTGAGTGAGCATGAGTATTGTGTGGACGTCACATTCAAAATGGTTAAGCAAGTACAGCAACAAATCTGCATCAAATTTTGCATTAAGTTTCAACATTTCTCTGCATAAACTATTCAGATGATTCAAAAGGCCACAGATGGGCAACTGATGATTGGCAGCTTCATCATGACAATGTGCCTGCTCATGCATCACACCTCATTCAGAGTTTTTTAATGAAATGATCAAATCACAGGTGACTCAGCCCCCACTATAGCCCAGATTTGGCTTCTGGCTTTTCCCAAAACTAAAATCACCTTTGAAAGGAAAGAGACTTCAAACCATCGATGAGATTCAGGAAAATACTATGGGGTAGCTGATGGTGATTGGGAGAACTGTGAGAGGCCCAAGGTGCCTGCTTTGAAGGGGACTGGGGCATCATTGTCCTACGTACAATGTTTCTTGTATCTTTCTCAATAAATGTCTCTATTTTTCTTATTTTTAAGATTATTTTTTTAATTTATTTTTTAGACAGAGGGGAAGGGAGGGAGAAAAAGAGGGAGGGAAATGTCAATGTGTAGTCACCTCTCTTACGCCCCCTACTGGGAACCTGGCCCGCAACCCAGGCATGTGCCCTGACTGGGAATCGAACGAAAGACCCTTTGGTTTGCAGGCTGGTGCTCAATCCACTGTGCCATACTAGCCAGGTAAATGTCTCTATTTTTCATAGTACATGGCTGGATACCTTCTGGACAGAACTTGTATTTTTGTTTTTGAATTAGTATTTTGGTTTCTTCAGATAAAAACCCAGAAGTGGAATCTCTGGGTCATAAGGTAGTTTTGTTTTTACTTTTTTAGAGAAACCTCCATACTGTGGCTGCACCAACTTTCAATCCTGCCAACAGTGTATGAGGGTTTCCTTTTCTCCACATCTTCTCCAACACTTGTTATTTATTGCCCTTTGGCTAATTCCTCCTCGCATCTTCATGTCAGGCGCAGCTGCTCAGCAGCAGTGATGGGCTCCTAACCACATCTGGGTCATCTCATGTGCTCCCTGGGATTTCCCTCAAGTTGTCTGAGCCTTCCTGTGTTTTTTTTTCCACTGAGCTTAAGGACGGCTACTGTTCATTGTGGGGTCTTTCTTCTCACAGTGACTTTGTTCCAATTCTTATTTTTAATTATCAAAATAGTTATTAACAGGGTTAAATACTTAGCCCAGTTCTTGCACACAGTAGGTGTTCAAAACGTTAGTTTCCCATTACTTAGTTCCTGTTTTCTAATTGCTCACCTCTAAGCCACTTCTCCCCCTAAGCCATCTTGCCCCCTGCCACACACTTTTTAGCACTTTGGTGAATTTCTTTCCAATGTTTCTATGCTTTGAAAAACCAACTGTTTGTACATTTTTTTAACTTGCTTTTTTAATGGGAGTGTTCAATGACTGGGAGATATTCTATCTTACCTAGCTTTACTTGGTCATTTTTCTTAGCAAGTCATCTAGGTGTCCACCTGTTTACAAGTAAATCCCTGTTCATATTGCTGATTATCTTCACTTGGCTTTAAGAAGTGGGATTATAATTGTAAACATCCTAAGAGGAATAAGAAAGCCAGTTTCACATTAAGGATTGGAAGCAATACAGCTGTTTTCTCACCAGCACAGTACTAGCGTTTCAGGTTCCATTGATACTGTTACAAACAAGTATGGCTTTATGAATTTCATTCATCTTTAATATTTTGTAAGTAGCATCATCTTCATCTGACTCTTTACAGCGTTACACACTGTTTGAAGAGAACCACATAGATTTGATCTCTGCATTGTAAAAGTTTACGATCTAAGAAAGCTATACAGATGCAGGCAGTCTAGAGCAATCGCAGTTAAAGCAGCAAGACCCAGTACATTTACTCAACATTACATAGACTGAGGAGGGAGGGGACCAGTGGAGACCAGGTGGGACACCCAGCCTTCACCTGGGCCAAATGTAAAGAACCGATGTGTGGTCTGCTCATTCCCGCTGCAGGTCTCTTTTGTAACCTATTTCCTCCTCTCTTCCAGTGGATAGTAAAAAGTGGCTGCGGTCAGAAAGGTATTGTAATCACCACATGCTTGGTTCTTTAACTGCCCCTCCTTTTCCCTCTTGACCCACCTTTTCCATATTATTCAGGTCTCAGACTAACCCTGCCCTTAATCAGCAGGGTGGTGGGTGGCACTGGTATGAAGAACTTACCAGATGTCCTTTAGCTAGTCAGCCTGGAGTTGTCTTTGGGAACTGCAGGCCCTGACCATGGCTGTCAGACCTCCCAAACACCATCTGCTGCTCGTCTGTCGTCGTCATTTTCAGGTACTCTGCTCGTCTGGCTGGGTGTCCTCTTCCCACCCTCCACTGCAGCTGTCTCATGAGTGCACCCTTCCCCGACACCAAAAGAGGGCCCATCTAGATTGCAGGAGCAAATCCATCCTTGCCTGTGTCATCCTCACAGATGATAAAAATAACATTAATAGCAACAACAAATATTTAGTGAGTACCTACTATTATTCATTTAATTGGTGGCCCTTCCATTTCTGGCCATGACGAGAGACATGCTGTAATGACTCAGAGATATGATGACACATGTGGACAAACATATTAGCACATTATCACTGGCATCAAAACTAATATCCTCTGTTTACCCAGAACAGGCCTAAGGGAGAGGGAAACACAGAAAACCCATTTGTGTCTGCCCTGTGCCAAGTCCAGGCGTGGTGCTTGACCTGCTTCATCCAGCGAGCCGGTCACGAAGATGGAGGTCGTTGGAATTCAAGGTGTTGTCAGCAAGAATGTTCACTAAAATAAAGGCGCTGACTCCATTATCAGGCTTACTGTTGTTGTTGTTGGTTTTTTTTTTTCCTGTGAGTATCTAATCCCTTTCCCTATTTTTTTGTTCTGAGTCTGATCTGTATCTGTTTTACTGTGTTTCAGCCATGAGGGTAGGAGAAGTAAATTAGAAAGAACTTTTTATACCTTTTTTTTCTATATTGGTTCATGCTAATATGAACCTGTTTGTTTTTTTTTTTTATTATATGGTTATGAAGTCATCCATTTTAGCTCTCTTACCACTGACTAACTGAGAGTTAATTATCATCAAATATCCATCCACCCAGGATGAGTTACAAGTTATGGCAGGTGTTTGGTGAACAATGCTAATATAATTTATTTTACTGTTTACTCTCTCGTCTTGGAGTAATCAGCAAGTAAAACAAAAATTAGAGATTGGCACTTAAAAAATTTTGTTTGTAAGAATTCCGTCCCATCCATATTAGTTTAAACCTTTTTTTCAAATTATTTTACTAATTGTATTTTCTATGCATGAATCACATAATCATGTCCTTTGCCCATTTATCCATTGGGGTATTGGAGCATTCATAAATATGTTTAAATAAATTTTCATATGCTTGGAGATAACTATTTTTTTCATTTGTGGTGAATATTATCTTTTACTTTTATTGTTATTTTATTGCTTACAAGTTAAAAAAATTGTAACTATACTTACCATTTTATTTCATTTCTTATTTCTCTTTTTACTTCAATTGTAAAAACATTATCACTTTGAAATGGTACTAAAATCCCTATTTTTACCTCTGGGTTCCATTCCCCACCCACATCCTTGAGATGTTATATTGATATTCTCTGTGCCTCAGAGCCCAGGCCCTGTAATTTTTAAATACATTATTTTCACAAAGGTTGAATACTTGTATTATTACTTCAACTCAGCACTTACCTGCAGAGTCCATTGTCCATCTCTTTGTCCTAAATTGAGAACTATCTTCTATGTTTTATGATGTCTAAGAGGTCTATGACTTACTCCATTCATACTGAAGTTGGTACTCAGAGTCACTCTTCACTCACTCATTTATTCATTCATACACACATTTATTCATTTATTATATATTACAGACAGAGTCTATGGTAGCCCCCAACAAGCCTACTTCCTGGTGTTTACTCTTAAGTGTGGGTAGGACCTATGACTGGCTTCCGATCAATAGAATGTAATAAAAGTAGTATGTCCGTCTATGATTGTGTCACATAATAGAGGACTCTGTCTTACTAGAATACTTACTAGGATCCTAAAGACTGTCCTGGCTTGATGAAGTAGGCAGCCATGCTGGGGAAGCTCAGTTGGTGAGGAACCAGGAGCAGCCTCGGCCAACAGCCAGGAAGAAGATGGAATCCCTGGACTTAAAGCTTCAAGGAAATGAATTCTGCCAAGAATGTGAGCAAGCTTGGAAAGGTTTTCTTCCCCAGCTGAGCCTCCAGATGAGAACACAGTCCAGTTGATACCTGACTGCAGTCTTGTGAGACTCTAAATAGAAGAACCATCTAAGCCATGCCCTGACCTGCAGAAATTGTGAGATGGTAAATAAGTATTGTTTTTAGCCACTACGTATGTGGTAATTTGTAACACATCAATAGAAAATAAATACACTGTGTTATGCTAAATACCATCTATGCATTCTCTCAGTGCTTGAAGTAACTCTATGAGCCTGTGTTAATATTATTCTCATTTTACAGATGAAGAAACTGAGCTTCAGGAATTGAACTCCAGGACATTCTTCTCTCAACCACTGTACTATTATCATGTTTTATTTAAACGTATTTATTTATTTAATGGATTCAAATTTGTCATGGTTTAAAACTTATCTCCTGAACATACTGACTATATTTAGGCAAAGTCCTACTAGGCACACTTAGTACACAAAGTAGGTGCTTTTATAAATTAAATATTGTAAGGAACTTTCTTTAACTCTTTTGTACTGTATTTTACCATATATCTCACAGAAATAACATTATATTTATAAATAGAGTTCCTTCATGTTAAAGTAGTGATGAGTGGAGAATTATTTAGCAGGAAGAACAATTATGACTGGCATAAGCCCCAAATTCCTGGAAATTGAGCTGGAATTAGAACACTCACGTAAACAAGTTAGAATGTGCTGGGTCTTGGATTCTGTCTTTAACTTTGCTGCAAGACTAACACATTTTATCTTGTGTCCCAACTTTCCCATTTCTGATCAGGTATAAGGAAAAAATTAGGAAGTGGAGAGATTTTAAAAGGCTTTTTATTTTAACAACTTTAGCCCTATTTTGGTTCAGCATTCTGAAGCGCTGAGATGGGACTGTGACCCCAGTACTGTGTCTTCTAATGAGAGTTTTTTCTCTTCTGCATTTATCAGATGCTAATTATTCATACTGCATGTTCAAGGATGTTGGAATCAGAGACTCACCTGCACCATTTGGAGTACCGGTGGAGGTCTACACCAACACAGAATGTATACAGCAGCTGGTGCTAGTCAAAGCTAATGATGGAATTTCAGTTTAATAGAAAGACCCCCAACTGAGCATACCATCTTGAAAAAAGTATACTTGTCAAATAGCTTTCAATCAATTCAAGAGAGACACCTTAATTGGGAAGAGGAAGCTTTGCAGAGCAGTTTGTCACCATGCCAATTCCAGGTCAACCACTGCACGCCTGCTCTTTGGTAGACATAGCTTTTGCTTTATATCAAATAACCATACCTCATCCTTCCCATATTGGATAAAGAAGTCTTTGTTTCATTTGACAAGGTTAAATGATATCTTCTTTTAGTTCACTGCTGTTTCTTTATAATAAACATGAGCAAAATTTAGGCTCGTGATTATAAAGGTCAATATTGTTTTTAAAATAAATTTTATAATTTTTGTAAAAGTGGTGCTTATGAAATTTTTATATTTCCAAAAAATGTTTCCTTAAAAGAAAATTATATGAGTAAAATTAAATTATGGTGGTTTAACTATAAGAAAACTATGCAGAACAATGATGTTCTGGATTCATATAAAATTATTTTGGAGAAGATTGTACAGAGTCATTTACTAACAAGAAACAAAAGAGAATGGGTTTACTTTTGGAAGGAAGGATTTGGAAAACTAAAGAACAATGTGACTCAGTCATCAAATCTTAGTTTCCCTATTTGTTAAAAGGAAATACTCATTCAAACTGGTGGCTTTCAAACTATTTGAAGACAGCTGATCTCAGTGATAACAATAGAGGGCATTACGCATTAGGTAGGGCAGGTGAGCGCAGTGGACCAGGACCCCAATGTGAAGCTTAAGGGGCAGGGCTCTTACTCCTTAAACCAGGGCTTATCCTTCTTCCCTCCCTCCCTCCCTTTAAAAATCTGTATCTATTTATATAGCTATAAATTAACATATTAAAGTAGTGAGCTTCTGTATAAGATTTCTTTTTAAAACTCGGGGTCCTACTGCTAAAATATAATTTGAAAATCACTGGACTAGATCATTCTAAGTCCTCTTCCTTCTATGAATTCTTTCCTTCTAGTAATTCTTAATTACTGTTAGGATTACAAGCTACAGGAACAAAATAATGGGAAATTTAAAATCCTTTAGAGTAAACACCAAATATCTATCTTCATGAATTGTAGTTCTGTTAAGAGACAAAGTCATGGGTAGAGCGGCACCTTGAGACCCCTACAGAGATACAGGACTATAATAGGTCTCTTTTTCTCAGACTAACTATACAGAACAGAGCCATGCTCACCTAGGCACTTAATCTACTAGATGATGTTTATACAGACTGACAGAATTATCGCCTAATTTTAAAAACCAAACCTCTTGCTTTTAGAGAAGTGCATACTGTAAGAGTCAGCAGGATACTCTGAGATCATTTCCCTCATTTTATATATTTACTCATCCATTAAATCAATAAATTTTTATTGAATTTGAGTGTGTGTCAGCCACTATTTTAGGTGTTGCGGTTATTGTCCCTATCCATATAGAGGTTATGTTTTAGTGGAAGAGACAGCAATTAAATAATCAGACACATAAGCATATAATTACAAATTTTAATAAGTGCTATTAACCAAACGAACAGGGTTCTCTGAGATCATGTGTGAGAACGTGCATAAGAACACCAGGCTGCAGAGAGGTCACTGAGCCACGCACTGCAGAGCTGGCACTAGACCTGGTCCCGTGCTCGCTGTGTCTCACCAGCTTGGCTATGGAAGTTTAGGCCAGTAACACAGGCTGAGTGATAGAAATCAGAAATCTATGAGCTCCTTTCCTGGCTTCCCCACTACTTTGAAAGTGGTGGGCAACCTTGAGAGGCACCTAAATATCTGCACTAAGAATAGAGGTGTCAAATTTGGAAAATTCTTCTCTTCTTTGGTTAAGGTCTCTCTGCTTGCAATGCGGTTAGCTAAATGCTAAAAATGGTTTGCAGAGGTAACAAAGTCCACAATTAAAGAAAATCATTTGTTTATTACCTACAGCAAGACTACTAGTTATTAAAACTTTCAGGTTGCAAAGTAGCTTCTTTGAGTCTACTTTGTTGTGAGACAAATAGGTTTCTTTCTATAGAAGTCCAGTCCAAAGTGTACATCGATTTCCATTACAAACCTTTGCCTGGATAGGTTTGCTAGAACTAACAATTAGAAGAAAATCCAAGTTAAGCCATCATTATAAAATTA